TTTTACTTTGTTTTATTGTTTCTTGATATCTCATGGAGTCATTAGTTTCTGCTTGACCAATTCTAATTTTTAGGGAGGTTTTTTTTCCTGGGGGTAGAGTGAAGCAATTGGGGTTAAGTGACTTGCTAAGGGTCACACAGCTAGTAAGTGTTAAGTGTCTGAGGCCAGATTTGAACTCAGGTCCTCTTGACTCCAAGGCCTGTGCTCTAACTACTTCACCACCTAGCTGCTCTTAAAGAGTTATTTGCTTTAGTAAGATTTTATACATCTCTTAATCATTTGGCCAATTCTGATTCTTCAGGAGTCATTTTGGGGCAGGTAGGTGGCACAGTGGATAGAGCACCAGCCCTGGATTCAGGAGGACCTGAGTTCAAATCCGGCCTCAGACATATAACATTTACTAGCTATTTGACCCTGGGCAAGTCACTTAACCCCATTGTCTAGTCAGTAAATAAATAGATAGATAGATAGGTAGATAAATAGATAGAAAAAAAAAGAAGTCATTTTCTTCAGTATTTTTGGTACTTTGTTTTACCAAACTAATTCTTTTTGTAATTTTCTTTCATTGCTTTCATTTCTTTTCCCATTTTTTCCTCTACTTCTATTATTTGAGTTAAAAAAATTTTTTTTGCTTTTTTCAGAATTTGCTTTCTTTAGCTCGTTTTAGAATTCTTTTTGAGCTTGTGCCCAATCTGCATTTTTCTTTGAGGTTTTAATAGTTGATGTTTTCAAGTTGGTGCCTTCTTCTGAATTTATATCTTGAATTTCCTTGTCAGCCTGGAAAAGTAGCCTGTACAGCCACACTGTGGTGGTATTTGATGAATAGAAAAGAGCAGGCTGCCCACCGAAAGCTAAGATATTTTCCCCAACTACGTGGTCTACCTGTGCCATCCCCCAACTCAATCAACTCTCCCAGCCCCCATTGTCTTTAGGATAAAATATAAACTCCTCTGTTCAGTCCTACACAGCCTGCCCCCAAGTGATATTTCCTGGCTCATTATATATTACTTTCATACTCTACACTTCAGCCAGACCTGCTACCTCTCCATTCCTCATGCACAGCCCTTCATCTCTCCTCTATTCTGCCTTGTGGCAGCCATCTTCTGTCCTTGGAATGTATTCCTTCCTTTCTTCTGCCTCTCCTTCAGATTGCAGCTCAGACACCACCTACGTGAAACCTTTCCCCATTCCCTCTTCCTGCCCCTTTCCTCCTTTACCATCTACCCTGTATGTAACTACTTTACCTTTATTTGTATTTCACTGTATAAGCACTTATGTACGTAATTGTTGTCTCTCCCATTAGAATGTAAGCTTTTTTTCAAATTGGGATTGTTTCATTCTTTGTATCCCCAGGCCTAGCGTATAACAGGTGCTTAACAGATAAATGCCTGTTTTTTGATGAACAAAGGTGTGGAGGGGGGAAAAGGCCAGAGCTATTTGCAGCTGAGATGCATGTAGAATAGTGATGACAGGGAAGGCTAGAAAGGTCAGTTAGGGCCCAGATCATGGAAGGACTTATACATCTAGGCAAGTGCTTTGTCCCTGATTTGACAAGTGTGTGACCTTCTATTTTTGTCAGATTGATTTCCCCATCCTTTAAATACACCAGACTCAGTCTACCTTCCCTCTCTGTCTTTGCTTATATTATTTTTCCTGCCTGGAATGCCTTCTGTGCTCAGCCTAAACAAATTATGCATCCTTCAAGGTCCAGTTCAAGTCCCAGCAACTCATCTGTGAAGCCTTCTCTGTGCATTTTAGTGTTCTCTGATCTCCCTGTCTTCTGAACTCCTACAGCCCTTCCATGCTGAAGCAAAGATGTTACCCTTAATTATATGCTGCCATGCATTGTACTCTCTGTGAATCCTGTCTCCACAAATAGATCTTGAGCTTCTTTATAGCAGAAACTAGTCTTATACCTTTTCAGTACCAAGTGTCCTTAAGAAGTAGGTATTCAGTAAATACAATAAATCTGGCTGATATCATTACTCTTCAAGTACTTTATGTGCCTGAGAAAAGTTAACTAATGCTTGGAATTTATATTTATGGTAAGGATCCTTAGCTGAGATATTTTGGGGGAGAAGGGGAAGTAATGGTGTTGCACCAAGAAAGTGTTGGCAAGGAACTCTAGCAGGCAAATTATAGGGATGTGATAACATGTCAGCCTTTGGGCATCTGCCCCACAGTCACCCATATCCCTGTCTAAGAAACATAGGCTCTGTTGGTGCTAAGCTGTGCCCTCCTCACCTTGTGTTTCTGAGACATTTTGGGCCACTTCTTGGGGCTTTTGAGTACCAGAACAAAGCTCTTCTCACAGCCTCCAGCCTTTTTGGGAGGATCATCAGCTTTTAAAGTCAATTTACAGAAGCCCAGAGGCTGCAAGGAAAAGGTTGTGATCAGAGATTGTTGGGCATCTGTAGTATAATGCTTTCTTCCAAAGGAACTCAAAATGTATAGATTTCCTGTACTCAAAGTATCCCTTTAAGTTAGGTAGATGTTCAGATTATTCTTCCCATTTAACAGATAGTTCAAGTGATATATCTAAGACTTGTTTATTTTTAATTGCACATCAGTAATCATTGTTATAAAATGTTTTTTTGCAAATTCCGAATTATTAGGATTTGATACCCAGAATCTGAGCCTTCTGAATCTTTGTTGAATGGTATTTTGTAATAACAGCTCACATAGTACTTTCCAGTTTATGGGCAGGCCTTTGAGGTAGGTGACACAGATATTATTATCCCTATGGTACAGCTGAGGAAATTGAGGAAATAGATATAGATTAAGCTGTTTGCCCAAAATCACACAGCTAGTAAGTGACCAAATCTGGATTTGAACCGAGGTCTTTGATTGCAGAACTAGTATAGTTTCACTATGCCACAGCTGTCTTGTATGATGTTTTAGTATATACAGAGTGCTTTCCCCAAACAACCCTCTGCATAAGTAGTAGTGTCCATATTTCGTAGTTGAGGAAATTGAGAGGTTAAGTGATGTGCCCACAGGATCCTAATGAATTCAAAGCCAAGTCTTCTGACTCCAAATCCAGACCTTTTTCTCCACCACCGTATGATACTTTCTGGCTAGAAATGAGTTTTTGCCTTATGGATTCAAGATTTATATAAAGGAATGCTTTGCTTTATGCTCTTGTACCTGCTACTGTCCAGAAGACTTATTCTATCTGAAGAGTGGAAAAATCTTTCTTCTGTAAGAACATAAGAAAGGCCACTCAGAGACTCATACTGTTGTTGACAAAGGCACCAAGGATATTTTGTGGGAAGGTATCATTGTTTTCCATAGTCTACCTAAGAGATTAAAAGCCTATCACCCCACATTCCATTTCCTCTTCATACCCCATTATGGACCTGCTGCCCATTAATTTGTCCCCACCTGTTTCATCTTGTACCATCTTTTCAGGTAACAATTTGCCCAAACTTACTACTCACTTTAGAAATTTATTTGTCTTAAATTTACCTCCTTCAAAGTTTCCTTCTACTTCTGTCGACAAAGTTCAGATTCATTATTCCTATCCCTCTCATGATTTTACGCTAATTGTATGCTCACCCATATTTAATCTTTCCATAAAAAGTCCTTATTTTTTTGTAATCTGTCATATGCCTATTTCCCTCCTTCTCGTAGTTATCTTTCTCTTTAGACCTTCTCTCTGTGTCTACAGTGGAATGTTACGTCTTCTGTAAAACTATTTGATAACACTGTGGGAAGTAGTTTTTCAGTTAGTAGAGGAAGGTTTCCTAGTTCTTGGTACCTAGTCAATGATCCTAAGTTCAGCTATTGTTGTTGAGGGATGAGAAAATGGAGAAAAAAGGAGTCTGATAATGTCATTGCGGAGGCCAGGTTCAGACCAGGTCTTAGCAACCTCCTCAGAAGCTCCGTTTGCCTCTAGAAGGATCAAATCGTGTTTAGACGTGTCCAGGCCTATGCAGGAGCAAGGGAAAATAGATATCCCAGAGAAGAAAAGTATAAATAAAGGGAATAAAAGGAAGTGATACAGCACTAGCATTTGTGTCTAAGGTCCCAATTTACCTATACTTCCTTAGAGTAGATCTCCCCCTTCCCCCCATTTCCAGTGTTTGGCAACCAGTGGTGGAGTGGTTTCATAAAGATCCATCTAGAGAGCAAATTGATTCAGATTACAAACTAACGTATTGTATTTGGAGTGTTCATTTGAAAAAAATCTGTTTTGGGGCAGCTAGGTGTCACAGAGGATAGAGCTTCTGGCCTTGGTGTCAGGAGGACCTGAATTTAAATCTAGCCTCAGACACTTGACATTTACTAGCAGTGTGACCCTGGGCAAGTCACTTAACTCCGATTGCCTCACCAAAAAAAGCAAAAAAGCTAAAAAATGGAACCTGAGTTCAAATCCAGCCTCAGACACTTGACACTTACTAACTGTGTGACCATGGGCAAGTCACTTAACCCCTATTGCCTCACCAGAAAGCAAAAAAAAAAAGATATAACTTTGAAAACTAGAGCAAAAAATTCCCTTCTCTCTCCCTGCTTCCCTCTGGGGGTAGGGGAGATGGGAGTGAGAAAGAATACATGCCTGACAATTGAAAAAAAAAATTATTTTAAAAAGAATTTATGGGGCGGGAAAGAAAACAAATAAATTGTCAGTAGTCTGAAATTTCAATGGTGTGGGAACTTCTTCCACCGAGGCAAATTGAAACCCATCTGTCACTTACAGGGTTAGAAAGCTGTCTGAAGTCCTGAGGTTAAGTGAGTTGCCCATCTTCACAGAGCTGGTTAAGTGTTGGGAACAGAACTTGGACCCATACCTTCTGGACTCCAAGCACCCCATCCACTGCTCCGTGCTGTGCGGTATAATTATTACAAAAAAGATCCCTGAATCACTCGGCTAACTTGAGTGAATGAGATCATGGGAAATAGAGCCCTTAATTACACACTGCTGCTCTTTATGCACGTCATTTTGCTTTGGTCCCTCCTAAATAAAATTATGATCCTATTTTTCTTTCCTGTTTTAAAAGGGAGAATTACAAAGATCTTCATAACTCATCTTCATGGGGATCACTTCTTCGGCCTTCCCGGGCTTCTTTGCACTATCAGTCTCCAGAGCAGTCCCGCAGCTTCCAAACAACCTATGGAAATCTTTGGGCCGGTAGGGCTTCGGAATTTCATCTGGAAGACTATGGAGCTCTCTCGCTCAGAGTTGACCTTCCCCTACGTTGTCCATGAGTTGGTGCCCACAGAAGATCAGTGCCCTGCTGGAGAATTAAGAGACTTCTCTCACCGAGATGGAGCTGATAGGCCTCCCAAAGAGATACAAGGGAGAACAATCCTCTTAGACTCAGTTGAAGGCTCCTATGTACTGGTCAATGATGAGCAGTTTCTTGTGAAAGCATTTCGCCTCTTCCATCGCATTCCATCCTTTGGTTTTTCAGTAGCAGAGAAGGAACGTCCAGGTAGACTCAATGCACAGAAACTAAAAGACCTTGGTAAGTGAATTTGTTGCCCTTTATTGTGTTAGGGTGGTCTTTGATGCTGCTGAAAGTGTTTAAACTGCAATGTATTGTGAACCAGCCTGTCTTATCAGCCACCCAAGTATTCAAGAAAAATCGTGTCTACTTAAATTCTTTACTGGAAGTTTGCTTATTGATTAAAGACTTAATTCCAGAAGGCCAAAAGTACTTGCCAGAGCAAAAGCCAAATGTCTGTAAACATTGGAGGTTTGTTGGGGGGGGGGGGGGGCCGGGAGAGGGTGTTGTTACTGTAGATGCAGAGCTATGGAACTTTTTATTTTTTTTGAAAGCCAAGAGTCCCTTTGGAGCAGCAGGCTATATAATTATGTGAACACATTATCAGAACTGCATCCCAGTTTTTGTTTATTTAGATGAGGCTGCCAAAAGACTGTACAGATTCACCACCCTGGTTTTTAAAAAGTATTTGTGCTGTGCATGTTTATAGTTATTATAGGTACACCTCACCTAACTTCATTAAGTAGTTTCTAAACAGCACAATGCTGGGTGAAATGGAAGTCACAGAAGGAATTAGTTCCATTCCATAGCAGCATTAAGAATGATCATTGGCCTTCCATAACAGTTTGGTATAACAGTGGCCTTTATGGTGCTGCTTGGTTTTATATATCAACAAAAGGATGTTGAGTTATGCCTTTATTCAGTAGCCTCTTCAGTTTGTTGGATGGCTATAATTTAAATGGAGATGAATACTTCACATAGTCAAATATTACTTGAAATAAATGGGTTGCAATATACATCAAAATATTCATAGCAAAGAACTGGAAATAAAGTGGATGCCCTTCCATTGGGAAAAGATAGCCTCATGAATGTGTTCAGTCAAGTCACACAAGAGAATTATTTTATCTGTTATTTTTGTGAGTTCTCTAGGTCACTGTATGTGCATTATCTAGGTGTAGGTTATACAGCATTACCTGAACAGTTTAATCCAGGGATTAAGTGGTAGATATGCAGTGGTGCATTCTGTGCTCCTTTCTTTGCAGAGAATGGAAACAAGGCTGCTGTGGTTGCTGTAATGAGATCCCAGGTGGGACTTAGAAGCTTAAAAATCATCTAACATGTGGATGAGGAACAGCTTCATCAAAAAGATACCATTAACACCAATAGCCAGAATTGAGCTTCTTGAAATATAGAGTTAATCCTAGTTTCTCATACTTTTTTTTAATGGTTACACAATTGTTAAGAAGAATCAAATGCCTTTTCTCTTTGACATTTGTGATGATAATAGAATGGAACTTAAAAAGTTGTAAATACCATTCCTGTGATTTAATCACATCTGCCTTCATCATTAGGTGTCCCGCCAGGTCCTGCCTATGGGAAACTGAAAAATGGAGTTACTGTCGTTTTGGAAAATGGAGTTAAAGTTTCTCCCCAAGATGTCTTAGAAAAGCCTATTCCTGGAAGAAAAATATGCATTTTAGGTGACTGCTCTGGGGTTGTAGGTGATGAAGGAGTGAAACTGTGCTTTGAGGCAGATCTTTTGGTTCATGAAGCCACCCTGGATGACACTCACATGGACAAAGCGAAAGAATACGGTCATAGTACCCCACGTATGGCGGCAGAGTTTGCCAAGTTGTGCAGAGTCAAGAAACTGGTTCTCACTCACTTCAGTCAGAGGTACAAACCACCTCTTGTGTCTGGAGAGGGAGAAGCAGATGATATTAGAGAATTAAAAAAGCAAGCAGAATCGGTGTTGGATTTCCAAGAAGTGACTCTAGCAGAGGATTTTATGGTGATTGACATTCCAAAGAAAAAAACTATCAGCATTACCTGAGTATGTTTGCATGTGCCAATTTGTAACTGAGCCTACTCTCCAGATTTCTGTCTGAAATTATTTTGGGCCCAATAATCCCAGGAGGGGTGGGGCTACATTGCTGAATTGACCTTTGTGTGGCCTTAATGGTATTGCACAGAGTGGCTCTTAACACCAGCAGCCTTCTTAAAGTCCCAGTTTGAATAAATGATAGCCTGATTAGATAAATATTTACTGTAGTTTAACTGTTCCCTTGAATTTGATCTAGTACTCTCCCCTTACCAGCTCAATGTTTTTGTTGTCATTACCTAAATGCAGAGAAAACTCTGTTTTCTGCTAACAATGAATTAAGCAGAAAAAAGAGATGAGGTGTAAGGAAAATCTTAGAAAGCACTTGAGGATGAATATAAGAATTCAAAAATGCTATATTTTAGCTGAAGTACTTAGCACAAGGTTGAATTAAACATCTAATTTAACTTGGTTTCTGTTTAAATTTGAATGTAATCAAAACTGCTAACTTATATGGTTTTAGAATTAATATCTGGATCAATCTCTATTATGCAGATACTACAAAAGACTGTAGGAATTATTTGTTTGGACTTGCATACTTCACGTAGTCAAATATTACTTGAAATACGTGGGTTACAATATACAGCAAAATATTCATAGCATTCATAGCAAAGAACTGGAAATAAAGTAGATGCCCTTCCATTGGGAAATCATTATACAAATTATGGCACATGAATGTAATAGAATGTTTCTGCAATATGAAGAAGCTTGGAAAGACTTAATCTGAATTGATGCAAAGTAAAGTAAGCAGAACCAGGCACATGATCTCTGTGGTTACTACAGTGATGTAAATAGAAAAAAACAAAAATAAAACTAGATGTTGTGTCATTCTAATGCTCAAGTTCCGTCCTAAAGAAGAGAGAGAAGTCACTTCTCTCCTTTCAAGTACATTCCCTGAAAATAGACTTATCTTCATGTTAATCAGTTTTGTTACCTAACAGCAGCAGGAGCAACAAAAGTCTGGTTCCTTTTCAGTCACTGTTTGTATTGTTTTTTTGGCCCTGTATTCCTCTTTGCAACACGTCATCCAGAAAATCTTTTAAAAATATGGACTTTGTACACTACTTTTCTGAGGCAGATTACATAGCAACATTAAGTTTCCATAAGAAACTTCATGCTGATGGTAACTGAGATTGACCCATAGGTTTCTTTAGTGTATTAATTGTAGATATTTATTTAAATATATAACTTATGCAGGAGTCCGTAATACTCTGGTGAATAGGTTTAAGAGAGTCCCAAGGGGAATCCAAAGATAAAAATAAAAAAAGGAGACAGGCATATGATCCTTCCGTCAGGGTTGGCCAGCTGACCTGTGGCTCTTCTGTATTTATGGCCTCCTGGGGAGTTGAGGGGGTGGGTGGTGGGTGGCAGAATTGATTGGACCGTAAGAGCCTGTTCTACTAAGGTGACACACAGGCTTTCCTAACCTGGAAAGGACTTTCAGTGATACATTAAGTTGCTAGCAAGAGCCAAGACAGAATTATGAAATTGAAAATTCCTTCCTTGGTCTTTACTATCTACCTCCTGCTTTTCCTTTTTCCTCTTATTCCAAATAATCTCTAATGAGGGGAGGATATATTTTTGTACTGGGAGAACCTTCTGTCACCAGGTTACATCTTCCACACTGCTATCTAAGTTACTGACAATGTTACTCTGCTTAGTAAATTCCAGACTCCTGGTTGCCTTTAGACTTGAATATAAACTCTTCTCTATTGGGCATTGAAAGCTATTCACAACCTCGCCCCAACATACCTTTCCAACCTTATTACACTATACTCTCCTTCATGCCTACTGTATCTTAAACGTGGCCCTCTACGTGCTGTCTTTGTGTCCCCCTTGCCTGGAATGCCCTCCTTCCTTCTCTCTGCCTCTTAGAAATCCTAATTTCCTTTAAGATTTAGCTCAAATGCCACCTTCCACATGAAAAATTTCCTGATACTTTCTACCCCAGCTCCTAGTTTCTTTATAAAATCATTTGTTTTGTATATATCTGGATATACATGTTGTTTTCTCCAAAATAAATTGTAAGCTCTTTGAGAGCAAGGACTGTGAATTTTTGTTTTTGTAACCTAGGACCAGGGTTCTTAACCTGGGGTCTGTAAACTTGTTTTTTTTTTGTGTGTGTGTTTTTATAATTATATTTTAATATAATTGGTTTTTTTTCTAATGTATTTTTTGCATTTAAAAAATTGTGTCCATGACACAAAAAGTTTAAGAATCCTTAACCTAAAACATAATTACTTAATAAAAGGTTGTTGATTGATTGAGCCCTCTTTTCTTCCAGTGTTACAAGGAATTAAATATTGGAATTTGCATTGTTTAATATTTGCAGTCATCTCCACCCACTTTTGCCAGTATACTTAGCATCTTTTATGGACTTAAATTTACAGATTCATAATTCATTGGTTCCCACATTGTAGTGCATAGCATTTGCAGCATCATGGGTCTGTGGGCTTACTTGGGGAGCATCCTCAGTTCTGGGATCCCCAATTTGATCAGTCAGGGACCCAATGAACCCTGGTAAGATTTCCTTAGAATAGGTTTCTTCCTGGGCCTATTCCATTCCAAGTTATTAATCTCATAGGCTATAGAACCAGCCTAGATTGGAAGAACATGTTGGTTTCCAAATTAAACAACTACAGTACCTATTGAGTATGTAGGCTGAGCTCTGTAAGGGGGGCTGACAGTTTTAGAAATCTCATTATGCTAGCTTGGAGGATACACTTCACATCTAGCTGTTTTGGTTATTGTAACATTTGTTATTGGGCAGCTAGATGACACAGAGGATAGAGTACGTGGCCTGGCATCAAGAAGACTTCATCTTCCTGAGTTCAGATGTGGCTTTAGACACTTAGTTTTGTGACCCTGGGCAAGTCACCTAACCCCGTTTGCTTCAGTTTCCTCATCTGTAAAATGAGCTGGAGAAACCACTCCAGTCTTTGGCAGGAAAACCCGAAATGGGGTCACAAAGAGTTGGACGTGACTAAAAAATAACAACAACATTTATTCAATAAAACAGCTACTTTTAATGGAAACATACTCTATTAAAGCTGTTGTTCATATGACCTGGCATCATTTATGAGCATTCCAGAGTTCTTCTGTGACCTACTGGGGCCATGCATGCAGAATTGTGCTGTACTAGTGTTTGTGAGAAGAGAATCATCTGTTGGGTTTCCTAGGATGTGGTTATTCCCAAGATGATCTTTAGGATTCCACCTGAAATTAACCATGTCCCTATAGACACAAGACGGGCTTGTGTTGGGTATTATACGTGGCTGTATTCTTCCTCCATAAGAAACCTAATGGTTCGTTCAGTGCCCTGGTCTTATTCTTTTAACACTAGCAGCAAGGGTGAGCACTGTAGTTTGTTTCCAAAATCTGTTGCTCAGAAATGCTCCCAGAACATCTCTGACTTCCCATTAATAATCTATGACTGTATTCCACAAATTTATTGCAACTCCTTGAAACTATTTGCATTTCTTGCTTGCCTAACTTACTTGGGATAATGAATTCTATGTTTATTTAAAACTCAACAAACATCACTAAATTGCCTATTCCCTTGCTAGGTGCTGGGGATATAGAGGGAAAATGGCCCCTGCCCTCAAGGTCACATTCTGCTAGGAGATAGGACATGTAAATACATAAGTTTAAGATGACTTGATGCACCAGCAAGTACTAACGAATAGCGAGATTGGGAAAGGATTCTGTCAGCTGGCTCCCAAGCTGAGTTTTGAAGAAAAGGATTTTAAGAGGTGAAGATGAGTTAGTGCATTCCAAACACGTGAGACAGCTTGGACAAAGACATATAGGTAAGAAATGAAATTCTGCATTCATGAATCAAAATAGGGGCAACTAGGTGGTGCAGTGGCTACAGCACTGCCCTGGAGTCAGGAAGACGAGTTCAAATGGGGTCTCAGACACTCACTACCTGTGTGACCCTGGGCAAGTCACTTAACCCTGATTGTATCACCCCCCCAAAAAAAGAAAGTAGGCTAGGTTGGCTGAAGTGAACAGTACATGAGGCCAACAAAGGAATAGGGGCAGCTAGGTGGTGCCGTGGATAAAGCACCGGCCCTGGAGTCAGGAGGACCTGAGTTCAAATCGGGCCTCAGACACATAACACTCACTAGCTGTGTGACTCAGGGCAAGTCTCTTAACCCCAATTGCCTTACCAAAAAAAAAAAAAAAGAAAAATAAAAAGAAAGGAAGACTGGTACCAGATTGCTGAGGACTGTATTTTATCCTAGAGGTAATAGGGATCCACTGAAGACTTGCATAGAGGAGTGACAGATTGCTTTGGGAAGATTATTTTGGCAGCTGTGTAAATAATAGATGATGAGAAGCAAGAGGGTAAAAGCAGACTAATTAAGAGGTTGTTGCAATAGTCCAGTTAAGCCATGAGAGCCCAAACTGGGTTGGTAGCTCAGTGAGTAGGGAGAAGGGGCTGAATGGGAGAGGTGTTTTTACTTTCTCTGTAAAATGAAATATCTCCCCCCCCAAACACTTAACCTTCTTGAAGCTTTAGGATTCCATACTTTCCTGTCAGCCTAAATAAAGAGATGCGCCTTTATTAGGTACATTATAGCCTCAGCAAGGTGCCCAAGAAGTGCCCACTGCAGACTTCTTCATATGCCTCAAATCTTTATTTGTCAAAATGTCTGCATCATTAGTGACCTTCCTAATATTGCTTTACCAAGATGCTTAAGTCCTGGGCCCATTACCTCTTATCCCAATGCAAATAACTTCAGCCTATCCTTCAACTACCACATGCAATGTGATGGCATTTTCTTTGAATTCACTTTAAATCATTTTAGGATTTGTCACCCAGCTTTGCTCAAATAGCTTCAGATAGGCCCATGATGAGTATATACTGGTAGGGAGAAGGGGGAAGGGAAGGAGAGGGGAACAAGCATTTATTAAGCACCTCCTAAATGCCAGGCACTATGCTAATCGCTTTACAGGTATATCTTTTGAGGGAGTTCTTTTTTCTTGTCCTAGGTATAAGATCACAGTGGTAAGAACTAGTTCCTTTCTAGATCTATCATTCCCCCAGGTAATTATTTTACAGGAATGATAAAGGAAAAATGTTGCTAATTCTTGGAATTTTGCTCTTTGCTGGCTGAAACAAGATAAACGGGAATCATACTTGAAGTAGGATGGAAGGACTTTCTAATTTCTTTAGGAAAGCCTGACACTTTGCCACTACATTTTTCACAATTCCCTAGCCTTACTTCGTGCTTGTAGATAAATTCTCCTTCTTCTTTTCTCACACTTAAAGCACTGAACAAGAAGAACATTCTTCCTCTTAGGGGGAACTTGATCTTGAAGGAAGGGTAGGATATCAATAAATGGTAGAATAAGAGAAGACAGCTAAATGGGAGACAACAGTCAGAGTGAAGGTGTGGAAGGGGGCCAGGACACACCAGGTTGTTGAGTCTAAGGAAGTGGAAGTGGTGGCCCACTTGCTTAACTGAGATACTCAGAGAACCAGGAGTTCCACCATGATCTGAGGTCCTCAAGTCACATTACTTTGAACTGTCAAAACACATGCTTTCTAACTATAAATTTTAATTTTGATTGTTATTTTCTGGTGAGGACTACAGCAAATGACGGTGGATTCCTCATTGGCTTTTATCCATAATTCATTTGTAATAAGTGGCATTTAGCTAAACCAATTCCTTCCTGGATGACAAATTACGTTTCTGCATAAGGACAAAAATGGTTTGTTAAGAATCACAGGATTTTCCACTTACTAGCTGTGTGACCCTGGGCAAGTCACTTAACTCCAATTGCCTCACCAAAAAGCAAAAAAACAAAAACAAGCAAACAAAAAAGAATCATAGGATTCGGGGTGGAGAAGGAAGGAGGGAGGAAGAGAGTTTGGAAAATAAATTTATAAATACACAACCATAAATAAAAGGAGGTTTGGTGGGGGGAAAAAAGAATCTCAGGATTTTTAGAGTAGAAAAGGACCTTCAAGATCTTTTAGTTTAATATCTTCATTTTACAGGTTAAGAATAGGCAAAACAACAACAATAACAACAAACCCTACATATCAAGATTTTTCTTTAAAGGGACGAAATAATACATTTTCTCCCTCCTTCTATAAAAGGTTATGACAGCCTAAATGATGTTGTTGAGACATTTTAGTTGTGTCCAACTCTTCGTGACCCCATTTGTGGTTTTCTTGGCAAAGATATTGGAGTGGTTTACCATCTTCTCCAGCTCATTTTGCAGATGAGGAAACTGAGGCAAACAGGAGTAAGGGACTTGCCCAGGCTCACACAGCTAGTATGTGTCTTTGGTCAGATTTGAACTCAGGAAGATGAGTCTTCCTGACTCCAAGCACAGTCCTTTATCCCCTGTGATACCTAGCTACCCAACTGACAATGAGGTATCCTCTTCATTTAAGGAATTATGATAGGGGGTGGGTGTGTGGAGAGGTATATAATAAGAAAGGAAATCAGGGGTCCCAGATACATCTCCAAGCTTATCCAATGTTAAAAATACCTTCCTCTGAATAAAGCTGGCTGAGATACCCTGCTGCTCAGATGTCAGCATTCTAATTATATACTCAGCGGACGTGGCAGGTACAGAGATTGAATTTGCTTACATATAAGTAAAAGGGGAAATGGCGGGGGATTAAATGCCTCAGCTGTACAAAACTTCCTTCTTTTCCCCACCTACCAGGATCTTCAGCCCGGCCAGGCCCAAGTAGAGCCAGATAACGTGTAGTTTAGCATTACCAGAATGGAGATTGTCAGTATCTCATCTGTGTTATCCATTCTGTGTTGAATACAAACCCTCTCCGAACTGGACCAAGATGGATCCGTGCCTCCCTCACCCGAGGTCACTCTTTTTGGTTTACCAGTGTCAGTGACAGCTGTATAAGCCTGACAGACACCAGCAGATCATTGCTTGGGTTCAAATTACAAGGTGCTGGAAGTGACTTACATGGGTAGAAATGTTTGCCAAAGGATACACAGGATCCAGTGGAAATCAGTAGCCCATCCCTACCAGTCCTGAGGTGGGCAGCCCCAT